GCATTTACGAGACCGATGTGATGACAGACTTAATCCAGTCCATCGATGGTCCAGCGCGATATTAATGTTCGGAAACTCGTCAATGCCACAACGGTCCCACCAAGAGCCAGCCCCACCGCGTACCATTTATCAATGCCGCCTTCTCTGACAACGTCCATAAAGGGAGAGCCCTGATCGCCAGCGTTGACGGCACACGTGAAATCTGTTGTTGGTTCAAGAAGCTTTATGCAAAACGTACCTGCTCCAAAAAACTGTGAAATTTCCTCTGATGCACTTTTAGTGTAATTGGCTCTACAACCCTGCAAATCAACCACTCTCACTCTTGCCCACTTCAGCCACAAGAGCGCGATATTGTCGCCAAAATTGGGCGCACCCCAGCCCGCAAAGATGAGGTCCTTGTCCGTTGGCACAGTCGATGTGGGGAGCGCGTCTGGTAGACATATAGGGCTTACAGTGCTAGAAAATGTAATTTTTGACGCGGTTTTCATCAGCGCAATGTCCTGAGACCTGGCGCGATTCCGCGGTGCAAACTCGGGATCCGCACAACCTCCACAATGTCCAGTTCGAACGAGGGTGCGCTGGGATTGTCGTCGGATGTATCCTGTAAGTCGAGGTCACCAAACCGCACCGTTATCCGCTCTCGGCCTGAGCGCAGGTCGCCCCTGTCAACACCCACCGGTCGGAGATCACGGCGCCTCCGCAATAAAATTCACCTCGGACGCCGCGCTCTTATCGCTGATGGCCACCAGCCAGGGGAAGTTGGGCGTTCTTGGCGAACGCAGCACCAGCTGCGGCGGCGAGAAGCTGGTCCGTCCGCAGCCTGCGCTGCGCGCGGCCTGTCTGGGACAGCAGAACAGCGGCGTGAAAGCTGCGCCCAGCCCGCAGAGAGGCCGGCCCAACAGATCTGACCGATTCCCGCCGCGCGCCGGCAGCAAGTCGGGACAGTCCTCGCAGCGGGAAGCAGAAGCCGGCTACGCCGTCCGGGGTGAAGCAAGGCCGGCCCAGGTCGCCCTCAGGCCGACCGGGGACCTCTGGAGTTAAGTCACAGCCGTGCTCGGGACCGCGTCCTCTTCCTGGTCCCAGCTGGAGGCGGGCAGCGCAGCAGCCAGCCCACGTCTGCTGACAGACTTGGTGTACAGGCAGGGTCGTCGGCCGCAGCCCAAGCGGATCGCCAGACCGGACACGACGCCATACCGCCACGAAACGGCC